ATTTATAGTAAGAAAGTTTAACAAAAATGGTTTTATTGTGTGGTTGTGTGTGGTAAGAGTTATATATCTGATGACCCAGAAGGGCCTTACAAACACTACCCTTACAACACGGAGTCCTACTCACGTAGGCAGGTGTCTGTCCATACACAGTGTATGTTATTCGCTACTCAAACTGAGATGGGGCTGCAGTAGCAGCATTCAGATTGAGCTTAAACCTGGCTTAAATTGCAACACTTTAAAAATATTGGATTACTTTTCCATTTCTAGCGCTTTTCAGTCCTTATGAGTGGTCATAGTTGGGCTGTTAGACTGCATTAGTTGCAGTGTAAAAGAGCTGCTTAAAGGTGGTTTTAATTGGAGTGATTTTTACTTTGCTTTGGGGGTGAACTGTGCCATACATTGTTGATCACTGGGGTTCAGTTGATAGCTCATACTCCAAGAGGCGAAGGTATGTAGTTGCATTTGGTTTTTTAGGGAATGACTGTTCCTGAGTTGTAGTAACACATTACAGCATACTGTTAAGCGAGAGAGCTGCTTGACAGCTGCATAAAGTCTTCACAACAGACTGAGTTTTTGATCATCAGAGTTCTGGAAAGTTAAGTGATAAAAAGTGACTTTCTATAATCAGGATAAGAACTCTTGGAAGTAGCTGGATTAAGGGGTTAAGTGATGTTATGGTCAAATAAATGTCAGGGTGAAGAGCTCATCATTAAAACATAGATCACAGAACATTGAGGTGCATTCAGATTAGCCTCTTACCTGATTATTTTGCCTAAGTGTTGACTCTTATCCCCAGCTGAAATCAGCCTGGAAGTCGTAGGCCAAAATTCAGATTTTGGGTAAGTGGGTAAAGCTTCCATGAGGCTAGTGACAAGTCTTCTGCATGTAAGAATAATAATATTCCTCTGTTGGTAAGATTAATTGCTCTACTAGGTTAGCAGACAGTTCAGTAACCCGTTTGCATTTGCATCAGTGATGTCTTAAGAATAGAAACCTGGCAGCTACAGTGTGGTTTGTTTCCTACCCCCACCCCCTCATCCCCCACCTCCTTCCCCCCGTAGGTGTATTCTGGTTCTCAGCAGCTGGCTGGCTAAGAACTTTCGCAGAGTTGCCTTTGGACTACTATGTTTAACAGTCATGAGAACATTTATTTTCATTCTTGCCTGATCCATATTTGACCTGGTTGCATTTCAGGCCTCTATGGCCTTCTACAGCAGTGACTCCACAATGAAGAAAAAATGTTTTCCTGCATAATAGATTATTAAAGCTGCTTAATTATTTCACTGGCTGTCTTTTTACAACACACAAATAAGCACTCATCTTCTATGTATTTTATTTTCCTTGTAGACTTAACCAATCTTCCATCTGCTACTGCAGTCTAGTGAGGAATGTGAAGGCCTTTTGGAAGTCTTGTGTGCTATACCAGTTTAATCAGGGTTGGTCAACAGGTACATGAACGTTTCAAAAAATCTCTCCAGTAGTCCTGTGAGGCACTATCTCTTCTGCAAAAAACATATTAATTCTCTCCCTGTACATTTGTCTTTTGTATATTTATTCAGCTGTAGTTTCTGTCAGTCTGTTTAGTGATGATATAGGATTGTAGACTGTAATTATTTGGGCAATCATTATTGACCCTCTCCTGAAGTAATTGGTTACAGATACTGAAATAGAAGATTGCTGACTGTCTTTAGAAATCTTAAGTGACTGCCATGTGGCCCTCATGATTTGTTCTAAAATCTTCTGTTAGCAGTTTGCTATGACACTTCCCCTCTGACATGACCCCTAGAAAGAGAGCTTAGATGTGATCTCCGATCTTTTCCTCAATTAACATCAACGCACAGAGTTTTTTTCCTGTGTTTCCTACTGTGGTTTTGGCTTCTTGGATATTCTGTTTCATTACAAAAATGTTACAGTTTGTGAAATTTTCAAGAATTGGCGTTTTGGACAGAACTTTGCTCTGACAGCTCAGTAGCTTGTCTTGAACCATGCCTATCAAAAGGTAAAGAACAGGGCAAATGTATATGAAACTTTCCACTATTACAATTCCAGCATCTTCGTAGCTCAGACTTCCTTATAGTAGTCTTCATGTTTTTATGGGGGGGTCTTTTTGAATTGGTTGTGTACTTAATATGGTGAAATTTTAAATGGCATCCATGCTCTTGAGAATATTTTTGTCTATCTGCTCAATCTTGTTTCCTTTTAATTCAGTTCCTCGCATGTTGTTCTGCTTTTTGAAATGAAATATTGAAATAATATTTTATTATTTATTTATTTTTAATTCCCATGGGAATTTAAATATGTTCTTCTGGAGTGCTGTCTGGATAATTGCATCTTAAACTGTACTGTATTGCTCAGAATTCATAGAATCATAGAATAGTTAGGATTGGAAATTACCTTAAGATCATGTAGTTCCACCCCCTGACATGGGCGGGGACACCTCGCTCAGACCATATCACCCAAGGCCTCATCCAGCCTGGCCTTGAACACTGCCAAGGATGGAGCATTCACAACCTCCCTGGGCAACCTATTCCAGTGCCTCACCACCCTAACAGGAAAGAATTTCCTCCTTATATCCAATCTAAACTTCCCCTGTTTAAGTTTTAACCCATTACCTCTTGTCCTACCACTACAGTCCCTAATGAAGAGTCCATCCCCAGCATCCCTATAGGCCCCCTTCAGATACTGGAAGGCTGCTATGAGGTCTCCACGCAGCCTTCTCTTCTCCAGGCTGAACAGCCCCAACTTTCTCAGCCTGTCTTCATATGGGAGGTGCTCCAGTCCCCTGATCATCCTTGTGGCCCTCCTCTGGACTTATTCCAACAGTTCCATGTCCTTTTTATGTTGAGGACACCAGAACTGTACATAATACTCCAAGTGAGGTCTCACAAGAGCAAAAACACAGGGGCATGCGCACCTCCTTTGGCCTGCTGATCACGCTTCTGTTGGAGTCTGTGTGCTACCAGAATGCCTTGAGCTCATTCTGTGGCACTATTGAGTGTGTATTTTCTGCAGACTAGGTCCCACCGGTTTGTGTTTTGGTTGTGTTATTTTTCAGTCTCAGCATTTAGTCCAGTGATCAGTCTACAATCTTGCAGGCTTGTAGCAATTGTGTTATTAAGCATCTTTTGCTGTTACCAGTTGAGAAGTGTAAGATCTTCCCTAGTTTCTCTTTCCAAACCTTTAACTCTGTAGGTACTTCCTTTTGGTAGTTTTCCATTTAGAAATACTGTGACACTGCCTATGTAGTTTTTATTTTTCTCCTTGGTACTAGCATTTTTAGGAAAACAAATTACCCAAATTTGCATTTTTTTAAAATCTGATTTTCTTGGCAATTTCTTTTTTTTTAGTTTAGCATTGGTAAGAAATAACACTTGAGAGGAAAAATATGCAGGTTTTATTTATGGTTGTAGACCAACAGTTCGCACATAAATTTGTCTTATTTTTGTCATACCTACCAAAGCAGGCCATTAGAATCATTTTAAGAGCTTTTGTTGGAAAAAATACTTACACAAGAAGATGTGTTTTGGTCTTACCTTTGCTACATATTATGTGCATGTACTGTAAATCAGCCCAAGTTTGTCTGTCGGCTAAGGATCTGTAAAAATAGGAATAGCAAGGGTTTGAGTTAGGCCTGAGATTCAGTCTTGGCATAGTCTCATTTCTGCTTTGCTCCCATCTGTTCAGGTGTATTTAAAACTTTTCAATTAAAAGCTTTATGTGCTTGTGATTCTTTTTTCATTCTAGAGAAAGAAAATATATAGAATAAACCTGGGTAATTTTAAGAATCAGTGAATGAAGTAGTTCTTTGCAGCAAAAGCTGACATATAGAGAGATCTAAGTTTGAATTATTCAGCTCTAGAGTCAAGAATAAGATACGTAAAAGAGAATATTGGATTAAGTTAATCTTCATTATAACTGACTGATTTTCAGGGAGGTATGAGCCAACTGCGTTGATAATACTTCCCCCCCCCCACCCCCCCCGAAAATCTCTTTCATTCAAAGTGAATGTTACCTTTATTGCAGTTCAGATGCTATTACATAATGGCATTTGGCTGTAAAGCTAACTTAGGAAGGAATTAAAAGGTGGTTGCCTCTTTTCTAGGATTAATCTGGTTCAGAGCTTTGCTTTTGGTCATGTTGTCCCCAGTTTATGACTCGATGCACACATTCTCCCCCCCCTTCCCCAACTGCTCCTACTCAGTTAATGGACAGGACGGTTTGAGTAAGTCTGTAAATGCATAGAAGTTGATACTCTCTATTTAAAAAATGCTGCCAAGTCTGAGAAACCTAATGACTGTTATAAAACCTGAAGAATAAATATAGGCTTGAACTTTGAACATTTTCAGTCTCTTGTGAATGATCACATGTTTTAATGTAAGCTGTAAATGCTTGAGTCTGTGATAAGTGTCATTGCAGTGCACATATGCTATTTGAAAATTATTAGCAATGTAAGGTTTATACTGCATTGTAAGCCTGGTTTATAATGGACGCCCTGTAATTTTCCTTTTCTTATATCTTCATTTTAGCATGGTATATTCTGCTATAAGCAGCAAGGAGGTTGTTGTGTCGAAAAGCAAAGAAATGTACCTGCTAAGGTTTCTTTTCTCAGTAGCTCAGTTTACATGAAACATTTATTTCCTTAATATTCTATTACAGATACACTTCTTAATTGTAGTTTTTGATTACTTAATTGTAGGTATGTCTGTCTCTTGCCAAATGTTGGTACTTTTACTATCTATAAAGCATCAGGCATAAGATTCTGGAAATGTGATGTGATAGAATGGAAAATCTCAAAGAAACAGTATTGTTGCTGCTTTACTCATGGCAGTGATTGTATAGGCTAATATTTTCTAGGATTTAGGATTGTAGGATGATAGTGCTAAAAGTCAGGTTTGGACTTAAACTGTATGTTTAGAAGAAAGTCAGTTTAATGAGCAATTGGTGGGAAAGGTTTGAGATGTAGAAACTGTTTTGGATCTCTAATGTTTGTTTTAATCCAGTTTCAGAACTCACTGCTTTTGTGGAGGGCAACACATCGGTACAAGAAGAGCAGATTCCTCACAGAAAGAAAATAAAAGCTCTTGGAGCAACTTACTAAGGTAAACAGATTGCAGTGGATTTCTGGATGGGTAAGTATTGGTGAGCAGGATATTCCTAAATCCTTTATTTACCTTCCTTTATTAAGGATTTATAAAAAAGCATAGAAAACTTTCTAGTTCACAGAAACTTACTGATGTCATACATTAGTGTGTGCTTCCAAGACTTAGCCAAATTATAATGAATTACATCTGTATTTTCTTGTTGTGTATATCAAGATCAATTTAGCTTACTGGTTTTTAGTACAGATTGTTTTAGAGAGATCTTAAGGTCCTTTTGCACCTGTTATATACTAGTTTGGAATTACAGGTACAGAAATTCCATATTGAGGTTGCCTTTTATAGTTTTTTTTTAAATTCATGATAGCATTGACAATTACAAAGAGCAGATTCCCCAAATTGAACCATTACTAAAAGCAAACAGTAAGCCCCAGGCAAAGCAGCTGCTGGGAAGGAGCCTGAAGAAGCATCACTTGCTGTTAAAAAAAAAAAAAAAAGGAAAAAAATAAAAAGAGAGAGATTAAGTTGTTGAAATCTGCAGTGGAATAGGAGATACTAAGGCTGTCACATGAGCTGTCTGTGGTAGTGGCTAGTAATGAGAGGTTGCTGTGCACTTTCTGCTGCTCAATAATGTATCTGTTCTCATCATGTGTTCCATATCTCTCTTGCTTACTTCTGGGCTCCAGTTGTACTGGGCCACCTAAGGACCTTTGTCAGTGTGGGGCTGGAGGAAAATCAGTAGGATTTCAAAGTTGTTATGCAGAACAACATTTCTTTCTTTTTTTTTTTTTTCTTTGTTGTTAGGCACTTGGATGCGTGCTTCAGTCTTCTATATATTTCTAATAGGAATGAAATTTAATAGGAATTCAAGTTTTCTTTCTGCATGTCTACCTTTTGGTCTTGCTTTGCAGATTAGTAAAAGCAGTGTTACAGCATCATTGTGTGCATGTATAGGTGGGAAAGAGGCTGAGAAATTGGGATCATGCAATAAATATGAAGAATTCTGTTTCCTATATATATGTATATACATGTATTCCTACATATGTATACATTTCCTGTTTATGTATTGCTAAATAATGATGTGTAGTTAATGCCTGGAAATGTTGGTGATGGCAGTATTTTTTTTGCTAATGTAGGATTAGAAAGTAAATGAATGTTAAGAGGCCCAAAGAAGAGCATAGAGAAACTGTGTATTTTCTTTATGTGATCTCAGGAAGAATAATGGAATGATTTGGGTTGGAAGGGACCTTAATGATTGTCTAGTAAGAAAACAAAGTAAAAGCTGGAACTATTAACAATAGTGTGTTTAAGAACTGTTACTGTAAAGTTATATCTTATCTCTGAAGTTGGATGTTTTTTCTTGCTTTATTTTTTCCTTTAAACAGCAGATCTGGAATGGACGCGAGTCCTCTGGGAGGATTAGGACTTCCTGAACATACTCCTGGTCTGCTAGGGAGTACCACCATGTCAGCAGGTCTTGCAAATGTAGGAAATACATTTGGAGGCCCACCAAGTTCTTTAGTTTCTAGGCCTAATAAATTTCAAAGCTCACCTATAGAAGATGATGATGATGTAGTTTTTATTGAACCTGTACAACTTCCACAAAACTCTGCGTCACTGATAACAGATCAAAGGAATGCTGCTTTTACATCATCAAAAAATGAAGAACTTCAGGGGAATGATTGCAAAATGCTTTCTCCTCCAAAAGATTTAAATTCTCAAAAAGGGAGTATAAGTGAAACTATTATTATTGATGATGAAGAAGACATCGAAACAAATCGAGGACAAGAGAAGAATGCTTCCGGTTTTAATGAACGAAGACTTCCAGAGTGTAAAAATAGAACCAACGATATGGAATTCTCACCTTCCAGTTTTTCAAGAAGTAAGGTAAATTCAGGAATAGGTAATAGTGGTATAACCACAGAACCAGACTCTGAAATTCAGATTGCTAATGTTACTACATTAGAAACAGGTGCTATGAGCTCTGTGAGTGATGGTCATTTAGAAAATGCCGAAGGGCGTGACATGAACTTAATGATTACACATGTAACCTCACTGCAGAATGCCAACTTGGGAGATGTATCTAACGGACTGCAGTCAAGTAATTTCGGTGCTAGTATGCAAACATACACCCCATCTTTGACTTCACAGACCAAGACTGGTGTAGGACCTTTCAATCCTGGTAGAATGAACGTGGCTGGAGATGTATTTCAAAATGGAGAATCTGTGACTCACCATAATCCAGGTAAGTTGCTGTTCTCACCATATCCTTGAAAGCTGAAAATAAATAATAGAATGCTTGATTAAAATACTTTTGGCAGTGGCACTGCTTAGCATTTTAGCTTAATTCGCCTGGAAGATTTTGGTTCTCTTCATCCCAGTCCCAACTGTATCTGTGACTCCAGAATAAAATACGATCAATGACATAAACTGTTAGGTAAACTATACCAGTTTAGCAGTTAGTGATACCTTCAGGTGGTTTGAGAGTATTTGTATCTAAAGCAAAGCTTTCTTTGACTTAAGTCTACCCCTTTAACTGACACAACTAAAGCTTATCATATTTATGCAACTTTTATACCTTTTTGTGGAGTTCTGTGACCAGTTTAATGAATCAAAGTTATTGAAGACTTCTGATCTGTTGTCTTGAATATAGTCTGATGTGCAAAATAAGAGAACTTGGAAGTCTGATCATAAGTTGTAAGTAGCTAGCTGTCATAATTCATTGCATACCAAGCAGTTCTTAGTGTTTACAGTGCTTACCAGTGGTGTCCAAGTTACTTGTGGACTTGTGTGTTCCTGCAGTAACTTATACACACTTTATAATTGTTCCTTAATCACCTGTGATAATATGAATTTATATCATACAATATTAGTTTCAATTTGATGGTTTTGTTGTATATTTCTGTGCAAATAGCAGTATATTGTCTCCTGATTTAGCCGGTAAACAGATATTGCTGAAAGCCGAATGGGGCAGCCATAAATGGTCTTCTGGGATTGCTATTCTACAGAATTTAAGCTTTCACATGAGTAATTTAAAATCTTCCAGGTTCAAGCATATACTGGTGCTTTTCTGCCCTGTTAGGCTAGAAGTGGGGAAAAAGCCAAATCACCACCTTTGCTACTGGTTTAACTTCAAACTAGTTAGGGTAATTTTAAAAGGAAAATTTAAACCCATTACAATCTAGGTGCAATAGACCCTTGTTAATTCGTGATTTCTTAATTTGTCCGTATGCTGATTAAAATACACGTGTTTGGGGGTGTTTTAAGTTGTTTTTCAGCGGATACAGCTTTTCTTTTTGGTCATATACTACCAAATGTATTTTTGCATAAGCATTAATACCTTTCATGTTCTATTATGGAAACAGCAGTATGAATCCAAGCTTTAAGTTGGATGTTAGCATGTGGGGGTTTTGTGTTAAATTTGAAACTTAATTCAAAATTTGACTCCTGAATTTGAAAGCTGCTATTATACTTTGGATGTCTGTCTGAATAATTTAGGAAATCATTTCCTAATCTTTTAAAACCAACATTCCCACTACTGCTAGTTGATCTCTTAGACATTGAGTATGATTATTGCTTTATCACAGATGGTCAACTAGTTGTGGATGAGAAGCATTTGTTACCTTAATGTAATGCCTTTGTTTTTCTTGGGCAAAGTACATCTTAAGAACATCAACATGTGCTTTCCCTTAACCTACTGAATTTAACATTTTTGGTGTGATTAACAGCGACGTACTGGAAGTTTTCCAATATGAATTAAGTGTGATAGACTTGCACCATAGCAATATTGAAATAGATTGAGTTTGGAGTATTGGCTGGAAGTCCTTTTAGGAACTTAATGAAAAAGACCCGTTTGAAGGAAGGGAGGGAAATGTGGATTTACGAGTGGATATGAGATATGTATTTCAAGGTGTAAATATACAGGATTTTTTTTATGGTTGTGGGTTTTCTATGTGAAAAATAAACAGCAGTAGGTTGAAAAGCAAGCAGGAAAGGCTATCACAGGTAAGAGGAAGGGAGAAAAACACCAAACGAGGAATTAGTAAAAACACAAGAATAAACAAGATGAGGAAGGAGGGAAGACGGCTATAGTGGAAACGGCTTTTATGCAAGAAAAAGCCTGAAACACGGTAGGTGCAGGTCATTTATGAGTTTTTGTATTTGTATCTTGAAACCTTTCCACCTTCCTAAGATTCAGTTTTCTTCTTTTTGCCTGGAAGATGCTTCCTTTTCTCCTAAAAGATCTTGTCAGTAGCAATTAACCCTGACTGTTAGAAACTTTGATAATGCGACAGGAAGCAATTGATATTAAACATGTCTAATATATTCTACACAATATAAGTCTAAGATTGCTAAGGATAGCTTCATCATTTCTGGATCAGTGGTGTTCCATCTGTCCTGATTTCCAGATTTCTGAAATATTTCCAGTGGATGTGGAGACTTCTGCTTAGTTAATTTAAGCCCACTGATGATAAAAATACTTTCATTTATGTAATTTGAAGATCATAGATTAAAAAACATTGCTTACGCTTCAGAAATAGGATGTTACAAGATGGGTAGCAAACTTTTTTTCCAGATACCACAACTTTCTTTAGGGATTTGCTAGTTAGAATTAGTTTAACATAAAAACTTCATGTAAGGACTTAATACATCAGTTTACAGAGCAGCTTTGCAAATCTTGGAACTAGCCCATTACCTGAAGATGTTCTTGCTTACATCTCGAACAAAATTTATCTGTGTTTGTTTCCTGTGTAGAGGATTTGAAGCCTTGAAGATGCAAATATGAATTGTTTCCTCATTATTCCCGCCTTTTCTCTCCTCAGTTGCACAGGAATTGGGACAAGTGACGTCTACATGTTGTTAGAAAAATAGCAGATGAGATTTCTTGATCAGGGAACTGGTGGAGTCACCATCCCTGGAGGTACTTAAAAGATGTGTAGGTATAGTGCCTGGGGACATGGTTTAGTGGTGGACTTGGTAGTGCTAGGTTAACGGTTGGACTCTGATCTTAAGGTCTTTTTCCTACCTAAGTGATTCTGTGATTACATATGTGGTTTGGAAGATTTCTTCTGGATCAGTCTATTCCCCTTAGCCAGGTGTCTCCACTGTATGGAAAGTAGTAGCTGCATAACAGAAATTTCTGTCCAACACATTAATTCAGAACCTGGTGTTCCCAGTAAGCATTGGGAGTACCAACTGATAGAATGGCTTTGATTGGAAAGGGACCTTTAAAGATCACTTAGTCCAACCACCATTTTTCTCTGAATGTAATCCTGTTCTGTGCATCAAAACTGTTCCAACAACAAAACCTGGAGAACTGAGGATGGATTTCATAATTGCCCTCATCTGAGCCACGTCATTAATGCAGATGTGTCTGAAGGTTTCAGGCACAGCATATCTCTGCAAAACTCTCCCCACCTCTGCCCCATGTGTGATTCTATGATTCTGTGTTGTGCTGATGCAGGGTTTTTTTGGGTTTGGTGGTTTGTTTTTTTTGTTGTTTTTTTTTTTTTTTTAAGGCATAATTTCATTGAACCATTTTTTCAAGATGGCTCTGCAAGTAAACGTATTGGTACAAGTAAGAGTAAGGACTAATTTTATAGCAGATTTGAGCAGGAACAAGTAGAAAAGAATGGGAACACCCTGAACAGTCATTATAGTAAGAATGGTTTAAAGAGGAACGTGTTTGGTTTTACCTCCTTTCTCCCTTGGTTCCAGCTCTTCTGTTTGCCTGTAAGCATTACGCTGGGTAAATTTACAACTTGTCTTACATGTTTGAGAAACAGGGCGTCCTTTACAGCTGCAAAGTCACAGCGGCAAATTGTCTACTTGCTAAGGAATGTGTGTTTTTTGTTGTCCTTGGGTTTCTAGAACTTTGTCCCTAAAATTAATTTTAAAACCCTCTTTGGGAAAGAGGACCTTAGGAAATGGTGTGAGGAAAGGGTGCCTTCTATTTAATGAATGATTATGGACCAAGATAATATCTCTTAAGAATAAAGCTTGGGCAGTTGCTGAAGCTTGTAGGTTAAGGTTTTTGTTACCTGAATTTACAGAATTTAAAATTATCTTTTTTTATATTTGCTTGTTAATACTAGTTGTAATAACACTCTAGGAATACGCTGAATTACTCAGTAAGACATTCAAGGCTTTAGTGTTTTTATTCAGTTACATTAAATACTGTGTTTACTCAAAAGTAGTAGGACAAGTACTATCCAGTAGAGTAATACTTATGCAGGTGTTTACTATTCAGTAAGTAATGGTGAGGTACTGTTCTAGATGCTGGAAATAAAAGGTAAGTGCCAAGTGCTGTGACAGTGTTTGGGATAACTATTGAAAATGTTCTGTTTTGGTTTCCCCCTCCCCCCCCCGGTAAATGTATTTTGTAGGTTCATTGATTTCTGCAGAGGAAGACTTGGAACTCCCATAACCTTGCCACTTTTGCACATTAAGTGGTATTCATTGCATTGAAAAGCTTACTGAGGAAACCAGGAACTCTTAGAGGAATTAATAACATTGATGCAGATCCCAGATGTGGAGCCACTGTGCTTCACTCTAACTGCAGTATAGTTCTCTGGCTACATACTGGACTAGGAAATGAGTATGGGGAACCCCAGTTCTAGGATTTATCACAAGAGGCCAGACATGCGATGTTTGTTTAAAGCTTTAGAACAAAATAACTAATGAATATCTAAGATCTCATGTTTTTGTAGATTTGCGGAGTTTGTATCTTACACCTTATCTTAGAAATTATGTTATCTGTTCATCTTCTCTCTTTTCTGTTTTGTTGGGTTGTTTTTTTTCTTGTGTGTGGGGTTGTTTTTTTGTTGTTGTTGTTTTCTGGTTGTTTTTCTTTTTTTTTCTTTTCAGTTGCAGTTTTGTTTGCCGGGAGATAAAAATACCAGTTTGCAAATCCATTGCAAGTGAACTGAGGCCTGCAGAATTTGTCACTAGATGTAGGATGGGACCATCCTGAAATTTGTTCATGTTCCAAAGCTTTGTAACAATGGAGACTGATACTATCAAGTAGCATTTGACAGGAAAATGATTTCATGCTCATATATTTGTGACTGTTCTCTCTCTCTCTCTCTATTTATTTATGTACATGTCTCTTCACTTAGTTATGTTTGTTTTTTTCTTGAAGATTCTTGGATATCCCAGTCAGCTTCCTTCCCTAGGAATCAGAAGCAGCCAGGTGTGGATTCATTGTCACCTGTAGCATCACTTCCTAAACAGATTTTCCAGCCTTCTGCCCAGCAGCAGCCTTCTAAACAGGTTAAAGTCACATGTGCAAACTGCAAAAAGCCTTTACAAAAGGGACAGACTGCGTATCAGCGAAAAGGATCAGCTCACCTTTTTTGTTCTACTACCTGCCTCTCATCTTTCTCACACAAACCCACTCCAAAGAAACTTTGTGTTATGTGCAGAAAGTAAGTAATTTTAAAATTTTGTTTCCTATTAGCAGCTAAACCCAGTAATATTGGAGATTCTCATGCATGAATGAGAACTGTTCCATTGATGGTACAAAGTCTGACTATACAAGTACTTTATATAGTGTCACTTTAATGTTGTTTGGAAATGTTGTGCCTGTGATAACAGAAGTACCATGTTTTGAATTTGTATTATGGTAGATGGTTTCTATGAAAGCTGCACTAAAAGTTACTGGGGTTTTGGTCTTATATCCTCCGACAAGATACATTTTCTATATCTTTAGTCCTTTATGAGAAAAAGTGGACCTTGTGTTGTATAGAAAGCATTCATTTTGATAGATGAAGACAAAAAAAACCCCAGAGGCTTTCAGAGAAGGAGAAGCTGATGTTTGCAAGAAGCTCAGAGAAAACTGGGAGCTCTTCTGCTGTTGGCAGTGTGAAGAAACCGTAAGATGTTCCCCATAGTTAGGGGCAACTATGGCAACTTTTGAAGAATGACAAGCATACCTACATAAATAGCATAGGAATTACTATAAGAAGGAAAGTATAGGAAATACCTGGCATTCTCCTCAGTGTTTACAGCTTTTAGTCACTTGTGTTACTTTATGACTTTACACTTGTGTCCTTTGATAAAAATTAGTATGTGCTTTGATACAAGTTAACAGTAAGTCCTGGTGGAATCTAGCCAGAAGCTGTAAGCTCCTCAGGGTAGGAACTGTGGCATTGTTTTGCAGAACAGAAGTGATAACATTCCTTAACACAAATCCTTACTAGCATGCCAAAAATCTACTGATTTTTCCTTTGGTGGAGGAATATCCAGGGGTGGTGCAAGTTTATTTTCAAGGAAAACTTACTAGGGAAGCATACAGAATTTTTCCAGTGTTTTCTACTCGTCCTAGTTTTAGAGCTCCCAGGTATGGGTTGTCTGGGTTATTTTTTTTTCTAACTGGTGATTCATCATGATGTCAGAAGACTTCCAGATGTGCCCAATTTTATATTTATTCTGCCTAATAGCATTTTTTTATGTCAGTAAGTTTTTTTGCTTAGGCAAAAGGGGGAGGCTTTTATTATCCTTACTGCTCCTAATTTGTGGTATTCAGTAGTTTGTTATTAGAGTAAGCTACCTTAGAAATGACCTTAGAAGTTTGGGAGAGCTGATTACAAAGGCATTCTGACAAGCGTGGTGTTAGTGACTTTGCTAAGTTTGCAACATGTGCAGCATAAAATTGAAGGACAAGGAAATCCAAAAGCAACTTCAGTGAACAACACTGTAAGGTTGATTAGAATAGGGTTTGTTTTATTTCAAAATAATTTGTTGATGGTTGTATGTCTGCATTAAATTGGTGCATTTTCATGGGCAACTGCATGAAGTGTTCAGGTAGTTTGGAAGTTTAATGATAAAATTAACTTTTTAAAAATTTTAAATGCTAGACTTCTAGGTAAGTTTCTAGGTAAGTTTTAAGCTTTTTGATTGTATTTATGAGAAAACAACCTTCTCTCATCCTGTCCAGAGATTAATATTGGAAATAGTGGGAAATAGAGACCATTTCTGGCCTTTTACTATACAGCTGAATTTTTATATAAATTGAAAGTATAGCTTTTGTGTAAAGTTGCAAAAGGTTCAGAGTTACTTTTTTTAATAAGATTGAGTTCTCCACAACTGGTGCCTAACTGTGCATTAGTGTCACTTGGGTCTGGAATGATGTAATGTGGGGAGGGAAAGGGACAATCCAAACAAAAAAATGGGGTTTTACATAGGAAAAACCTAGAACGTGCAGTACTTGCAGTAGTAAAAAAACATCAAACTTAGAGTTTGACATGTCACTAACACGTCTACACCCATAAAACTGGTTTGAAATGTAAAATGAAGAACGAACCTTACAAGATGTTAAATTTTCTTGTTTATGTATATATGTGTATTTACACGCAAGAACACTAAAGGTTTTTTTTTGTCTTCCAGAGATATAACAACAATGAAAGGTACCATTGTTGCGCAGGTTGATTCAAGTGAGTCTTTCCAGGAGTTTTGCAGTACATCGTGTTTATCCTTCTATGAAGATAAACAGAATCCCTCGAAAGGAGCTTTGAATAAATCACGATGCACTATCTGTGGTAAACTAACTGAGGTCTGATCCACTTTTTTTTTATCTTCTCTTTCTCAGTAATGACGGTATTAATAACTTACGTTCTGAAATAAGAGAACTGAAAATCAGGAAGTTTAAAATCTGATTCACTGTTTTCATATACAGTGAATTATTAAGATATGCAGGCTTAATATTCATGAAGAGCAGCTGAAGAAAGAATTCAGAGAGGTTAATACTTGATTTTTGTTTCAGAAACTTTCACTGATTGTTACTGTTGAGAGTTTTATTTAGGTGTAGAATCCTACAACCCATATCTCACACACAGAAGAATTGCTGTGGAGAAGGTCAAGATTTACTGTAGTATTTACTTCTTTCACTGTATGTTTTGGAAGACTGTGCAAATTTTAGACATCTGTAGAATATATACAAAATTTAAAATTCTCGTAATGTAGTAATTTATTCTTGATGTCGTTACTGAGCCCACCATAGCTTGGCCTACTTTACATGTGTGCCTGGGTAGTCTTCATATGGCATGTTAGTCCGCTAATTGAGTATGTAACAAATTTGTGTACACAGACTTGCTCTAATGTGAAACTATTACATCCTTCCCAGTCATCTTTGCTTCTAGGCTGCAGGAGAAGATGGGTCTGAGAATTTTTTCCTAGAGCTTTCAACACAACAGAAACGCCAGTTTATGTTTCTGTATTTCATGGCCATTTCAAGTGTATCTGTTCTGAAATAGCTAGTATGTTCTTATTTTAGTTACTGTACTTGAATGTAAGATTTGCAGCTTGTCTGGTAGTTGCAGGGTACTTTGTGCTTGTGTGGTGATAGAATTTTTTTCTTTACTTTTGTTTTTTAGATTCGTCATGAAGTTAGCTTTAAAAATATGACTCATAAGCTCTGCAGCGACCATTGCTTCAATAGATACAGGATGGCAAATGGTTTAATAATGAACTGCTGTGAGCACTGTGGGGAGTATTTACCCAGCAAAGGAGCTGGAAACAATGTTCTTACTATTGATGGTCAGCAGAAAAGATTCTGCTGTCAGAACTGTGTTGGTGAATACAAGCAGGTAATTATGGTAATTACTTATCTATAATTTAAAATTAGAGACATTAATAGTTCTTAAATTTATCCTGTTACGTGTAAGATGGTTTTACTTCATATTAAAGTCTTAACTAACAGACATCTAAAGATAAATTAATGCCACTGAGCGCAAACCAGCTGTAATGGACCTTTTACTGGTGGCATTTTTTGATGTTGCTATAATAATACCTGTTTGTTAATGAAAATATCATTGAAATGAAACCCTTTGTTAATGTCTTTCTTTCTAATGGGCATATCACAAGTATACTGATCACAAGCCTGACACACAGGCTTACTGGTCCTTCAGTGATGTTCTTTTTTAGGTATAAAAGCTTGCTTATGTGCAATTTAAACATTCAAAAATGTTCCGACTATACAGATTACACATTGCAGTGAGTGTTCTAACTGATCACGCATTGGTTGTGTACCTGTACTAAGTCTAATCTCCTTCAGTGCCACAGCATCGTATTTCAAAATTTTCTACTTTCATTCTACCATGTGTTAAATTTTATGATTTGGGTTTTATTTATGTGTGAGACAATTAAGATAGTAATAGTTATTGTGGTAAAAAATAATTCCAATTCAAGAAATCTGATGCTGATGTCTTTTACATATTACAGAGACAGCTTAGCTCTCAGTCATTGCTAATGCTGTCTGGAAAGTTCAGATGTTAATCAGAGTATTTATGGTATAATAGTATACCTCTGAAATATTAAATATTTGGATGGGGGATATGCAGTTTGGGGATTTTTTTTTTTCTTGGTACATTCTGTTCTGTATTCGTAGGGACAGTGTTACACAAAAGTACTATTTTACTAGCAAGAAATTTCTTTATCTGATTTTTGAAGTTCACTCTTAAATATATGAGTGGCCCCTGTGCTGCACATTGCTTTGGGTTCTTTCTTACTCTTTCCTTTCCTCTTGGATTATTGGTTTCTTCAGAATGGGAGCGCAGTGCTGAATGTTTTTAAGTACTTTAATGTTGCCTGATGTGTCTTTTGTATTTTCTCTTTGGGCATTCAATTCTCATGCTTTTGGGGATGGCTGTTCTGGTGTGTATGCAGTGTGCAAACAGCACATCTGGAAACATGCATATGTAAACAGCGTAACTAAAAACGTAACATAAGCATTATTCTTTCATCACAGCTATACGAAAAGGGACAGGATAGGTTTCCAAGATACTAGAAACGTAGGCATGTCCAGAAGCCATGGAAAGACTTGAAGAAACGTTGAATACTGTCTCTTGAAGAAACAAAAAGACATGAGATTAACTTTGAACTTGACATTCCCACACAACCAGTATAACATGCAGTGCACATGGAATTGTGAAATGAACATGGAATTTTGAGAGGTTGAATGATAAATGTGTATTTAACTCATTACAGACTGTACTCTGTTTTGTTAGAAACTGTATTTTGTGTTTAGATGTGTATTTGCAAATGAGAAGGGTATGGGTAGCAAGTTACATGTTCTGGTTTGATTTGGGGAGGAGCAGTTTGTAGTATCAGGAATCGTCACAAGTAGTGTTGGGTATCGTTCATTATTTTGAGAGCCTTCAGAAAACCTTTAAGATTGAGACACATTGTTTTGGTGTATCCAGTTCTGATAACAGCGTTTATTCAAGCAAGTTCTTAATTCTTTTATAGAAGTATTTGTTGCTGGGCAGCCATAATAGGCTGTGAGAACCTTAATTCTAGTGCTGATGTGCATCTGGTTTGGACTGGTGATTAAGTGTAACTCTTAACTGGTAGGGTTCAAATGTTTCTGGAGTTTGGGGGTTTGAGGGTATTTTTGATAGTAAGAGAAACTCAAACTATCTAGTTCTGTAGTGTATGTTGTAGGATTCAAAGTTGCTCAGGACACAATTATTGGAGAATATTTAGCTGTCTAGCAGGAATTATTTAGGTTTGAACTTCCTTTTACTTTAAGGGGTTTGTTTTTTTTCTTTTTAACTGAATGTTTTCAAGGAATTCTGTGGTTTTTAAAAAAGGAATTTAGATTTTGGAAAATGTCACTGCCAACTCACTGGGCCACAGTGGTAAATTGTAGGTTGCTTTCTTCAGTCGTAACAATGTTTCTTGGAATTCTTTTAGATCTTGCTTTTAAAAGAGAACCGGTGAAGGAGAGAACATGGGAGAGTTGCTATTACACAATGAAATAAACCCAATGGAATTGATAATACAGGAAAAATCAATGTCGTTTGATTACAGCATTGTTTTTACAACGATTGTGTGTCACAACAATTTTAGCAAATGTTTTTATTACAGTTGTAAAACATGTAGGTCTTGCTAGTATGAGCTTTGTATTAAGCAGTTTATATTGTACATGTCATGCTTATCAATATGCTATATATCTGTAGTAGTAATAAATGAAAACTGACTCTTATGACATGTAACTATCTACTTCATCCCTATTTTCTTTAAATAAATATTACACTGATTTGACCAGTTAATTTTCAATAACTTATCATGGACATTTTTTTCTTCCTGGAATGAGAATTTTAAAATTGTGGATAATAAAAATTACTGTGGCTCTCAGAATGGCCACTTGAGTGCAGATAATCCATTAGCTACAGAGGGTTTTGTTCCTCTGCTTTAGGCTGTTGGTGGGAGCGAGAAACAGTATTATTCCTGGGATGGGGAGAAGTAATTTTTCTGAAGTGTCTGAGTCACTTCTCAAGGTGATAGATGCACTTAGTTTTCTACGTACCAGTTTCAGAACCTGCTTTAAAACTGCGACACAATGAGTCTTGAATTTTGCATCATGTTTTGCTTTTCTGTGAGGTGATAGTGTTTTCTTACTGAAAACTGCAATAATTACAGAACTTAAGTTTCTTTAATCTTAAACTAAGAAAAAACATGATAAAAATAAACAGATTAATAAATTGTGTAAGGGGGTAAAAAAAGACAAAGGCTAACTAATGCTCACTGTGGTTATATGCAAGAGCATGTTAATTTTCTGATTGTACAACAGCCATTCATGAAGACAGCTAAGTCCAAGTCAAGCTTTTTTGAAAAAGAGAAAACAGTGGTAAATTCCTTCCTCCAAAAATGAAATAATTCTGACAGTTTATAAAAAATGCCAAAATAAAATGCATATTGAAAGTGAATTTATTTTTTTTTCTAAACCTGAAGAAACTACTACTGGACCATAAATTCTTTACCTGTTGCACTGAAATTCAAACTCTTCACATGTAGAGGGGTAAGAGGGACCTAAAGAATGATGCTAAACAAAATGAATGAGACTAGAGAATAAAGCTAGAAGATGCGATCACATTTGACAAGGAGGTGGCTAAAGTGTTTAATACTGAAGTGTTTCAGTCTGTGCAAATACTGAAGTACTTTATTTCTTCAAGTAGGCATTTCAGTTTCTTCAACTATTTCTTCAAGTAGACATATAACTGAAATGATAACCAGTTACTTCTGTAATTAATTTAAAAATCAGTGTGTATGCAACAGATTGAAACATCCCAAATATGCCTGCCATGAATTCATACTGACTAAAAGCACATACATATGTTGTTTCAATGTTTCTGATACTGTTGCGTATCTTCTGTCTCTACAAAGTTTACTGAATTCCTTTTCAAGGCAGTTGCAATGTTTGTGTCCTGGTTTGCTGGATTTGGGTACAAGCTTGACAACCTTGTTCTAACAAACAAGTGAATTCTGTGACTTGGCTTGTGCTATACATTTTAATTTTCAGCTGTTCAACGAAGCTAAAGCTGAGTTGTTGTCTGCTTCTAAAAACAGTTTTTAACTGCTTTGCTTACTGATCTGATCAATCTGTAGTGCTCTTGATTCTGCTATCAAAGCATTTAATCATTGAATGCTTTACTAGTTTATAATGTTACTTTACTTTTTTGGTTTTTTTTTTTGGTGTTTTTTGTTTGTTTTTGTTTTTTCTCTGCTGCTGTAACTAAAATTCTTGTTGGAATATGACCTGGGATTTGCTTTGCTTTGGGCACTTCTTTAAAGTGATGGTCTTCATGTGCTGTCAAAAAAAAAGAGGAAGCAGCTCTGTCTGTTTCTTTATAGGTTTCTTAGTAGCCCTGTAATAAAATGAGTACTGGGAGAACACAAGCCAAGTGGGTGTTTTCCTAGTTGGAGAGGATGCTTGCAGTGTCTATTCTCCTAGTGAAAATTTTCCTTCAATATTAAATAGAAGTGCATTTGATTGAATTCCTTGGTTAGACAAATACTTGCTACTGAACATGTTTCAAGACTAGCCAGGTTATTCTATCCCTTGCAACCAGTAGAAAAAAAACAACTTAGGCAGTTGTGCTTCCTTCTTTCAAATTCTGTTCCTTGCAAAAAAACACATGCTTTTATAAAATTCTTAAAATTCATTTAGTCTGCTTTATCTGTGTGGAGGGGTTTAGGAGCCTTCACTGTATACACTGGTACGCATATATCAGTTCTATATTTTGTGATTCATTGCTTTTGTAGGATTTGTATTTACTCTCACAAAATGTATTGTTACCTACTAGTTTAGATCTCACTGAATGCAGTGATAGAATGTCTTGCCATGCAGTACTTCAGTGGAAGCATCTAGGGTTTTCAGCTTGTCTTGTCACATGCAGTATCTGTTATTTGCTGCTTTGCTATTAAGACAGATCTGTCCTTTTTATTATGATAGCAGAATTAGCCACAAATCTGCTTCCTGCCGTTGTTACTGCTTTGTAAACTGTAGCTTCCAAGTGTCTGCTTTGAGAGCAAGTAGTGTTCATGGAAGAATAATTCTGAGAGTTGAACAAGCTCTTCATGTTGAAATACTAGAAATACTGATTTTTCTTTTTTTTTCTTCTTTTTTTTTGTGGTCACTTAGAAGTTACGTGGTTTTAGCCAGTTTAAAATGTGCTTCATAGTGGAGTCTCTTCCTCATGTGGTAAATCACTTCTGCCTCACTTCAGATATTACTTAGTTTTGTATTAAGTAATCTCTGATACTATTATACACTTCTACAAATGGAGATAGCCAGCTGCTTTTT